TCTCTGTTTCTCTCTGTCCAAATTTTTTTCCAAATTTTGCTTTATTGGCATGAAAGTTTAAAAACAGTATTGCCAAAGCATCAAAAAATTAAACATACAATAACATCAATACACAACAATATCAATTTAACAATAATATTAATACAACATCTCAAAAGTGGTGTGAGACAGAGCCCCCATTGCTCCCACGTTACTTGTAGGCCACCGCAGCTCTCCGACACCGAAGCAAAGGGAGGAGCGAAGTGAGAGAGAGATCCACGGATAGATAGATCTCTCTCTCTCTCTCCGTCTCTCTCCCAATTCAACCCAAACTCAGATGTGCTCCATTGGCATGAACGCCCAGAAACGGCATCGCCAAAGCGTCAACTACTGTCCCTCAGGTTGTGGCATGTTAGTACATACTGGGCAGCAAGGTCTGCCCTCTCTCCTTCTCCTAGGAGGACTTTTAATTTTGAGATATCACTAGATTTTTTAAAATCTGAAATCACAGAGTCAAATTTGTTTAGGTAGATGTTCCTAATTTTATGGAATGTTTTGCATTTTAGGAGGAAGTGCATCTCTGTCTCAACCTCACCGGTCCCACAGTGACCACATGTTCTATTCTCTCTTGGTTGCCATGACTTTTTGTGTCGTCCTGTTTCAATCTCCAGTTTGTGGTCACTGAGCCTGTACTTGGTGAGGTTCTGTCTCTGCTTTATGTCTCTGACAGTAGAGAGATACTCTGCCAATTCATAGTCTCTCTCTAGGGCCAGATAACATTCCAGTCTGCTTTGGCCCCCAGTTTCCTCTCTCCAGTGCTCCAGATAGGCTTCTTTACATCTCGCCATGATGTGTTTTACTCTGGTTGGTGTTTGGAGAGCAGTGTTGTTGAGAGACTGGTCCCCGTGTGTCTGAGAGGAGGCAGCTAGTCTCAGCACCAGCTGACATAGGGGACTCTTCTCTGGGCTCAGCTCTTGGCTTTGGAGGGCTTTGGAGGGGAGGGTGTCTGGGGGGCTGGATTTAAGGTGATTGAAGAATGTGAGTGCTCTCTTTTGAATGTTAATCATCAGTGGGTATCGGCCTAGTTCTGCTCTACATGCATTTGTTGGTGTGTTTCTGTGTACGTGTAAAATGTGTCTGCAGAATTCTGCGTGTAGAGACTGTTGGATGTTTGTCCCAGCGGGTATAACTGTGATGACTGAGTGGACCCCATACTTCACTCCATAAGCACAATGGGCTGGATGACACTGTTAAAGATTTTAAGCCAGATTTTAATTGGGATTTGAAAATTATAAAATGTTCTCTCTTCGAGCTTTTTCTTTTAGTGCATTTACTGCCATGTTGAAGCTCCCTGATGCAGTTATGGTTATACCAAGGTAGGTATAACTCATACTATGTTCAATCATGTTGGTGTTTATGGTAAACTGGTATTTGTTCTCCTGACATCTGGGGCGTTTTTGGAAAATCATGACATTGGTTTTCTTCATGTTCACTGCCAGGGCCCAGTTGTGACAGAACTGTTGCACTATGTCCAGCTGTTGCTGTAGTCCTTGTTCAGTAGGGGACAGTAGAACCAGGTCATCGGCATAAAGCAGACACTTCACCTCTCTATCTAGGAGGGAGAGCCCAGGAGCAGCACATTGATCACACTCAACAGCAAGTTCATTTATATATATATTAAATAAAGTCGGACTTAAGTTGCAACCCTGACGAACACCTCTTTTCTGGGTGAAGGATTCAGTTTGTTTGTCTCCAATTTTAACAGCACATCTATTTTCCAAATACATTGATTTAACCAGATCATATACTTTGCCCCCTATCCCACACTGTAGGAGTCTGTAGTAGAGCCCTTCATGCCAAATAGAATCGAAGGCTTTCTTGAAATCAATAAAACAAGCAAATATTTTACCATTTTTTGTTTGGTGGACATGTTTGTTAATTAAAGTATGAAGGGTATATACATGGTCGGAGGTCCGGTGTTTTGGGAGGAAGCCAATTTGATTTTTACTCAAGATGGAGTGTTCGTCAAGGAAATGTAGTATTCTTTTATTGAGAATACTACAGAATAATTTACCGAGACAGCTGCTGACACAGATGCCCCGGTAGTTACTAGGGTCTGACTTGTCACCACTCTTATGAATGGGTGAAATGAGCCCTTTGATCCAGGAGTCAGGAAAACACCCTGATTGTAATATGATGTTGAACAACTTCAACACTGCACCCTGCATCTCTGGGGTGCTGCATTTGAGCATCTCATTTTTGATGCTGTCTGGACCACAAGCTTTCCTTGGCCGGAGACACTTTGTCTGTGTGCTCAGTTCTTCCCAAGTCATTGGGAAATCAAGGGGGTTCTGGTTGTCTTTAATTATTTCTTCTAATGTTTGGAGTTTTTCTTTTGTAATATATTGGTCTGAGTTAGTTTGATTTATTGGTATATCTTTGTACAAATGTTCAAAATGTGCTCTCCAGATGTCACCATCTTGGATGGGTAATGCCTGTGGTTGCTTTGTGTTGAAGTTGTTCAACATATCCCAGAATTGATTTTGATCAATGGCGTTCTCAATATCTTCAAGTTTCATGTGGGTATAATTTTGTTTTTTGTTCCTAATTGTACATTTATACGTGTTTAAAATTTCATTGTACCTAATGCGTAAGGCTGGGTTGTTTGGTTGGCGATGTTTTTCATTTGCTATTTTTCTCAGGTCTTTTCTGATGCTCTTGCATTCTTGATCAAACCATTTTTCCGTGTTTTGCCTTTTAACAGGCTTCCGTGTTTGTTTTATAAGGTCAGCTTTAATAGCTGCCTTGTGAAATATCATATTGATATCATCAATGGCCTTGTTTACACCGTCTCTGGTGTGGATATATTGTTGTTGGTCATATATTGATATGTCATCTATCAGATCAGGTGAGTTCAAGGCCATGATGAATTTGTCTCCACTGTCTGGGGCCCATCGGTAAGTAGCATTTAATTTAAACAGCTTACTGGATTCTTTTTTTATGTCATTCATTTGACCTGAGAGTTTAAAGAACAGATTTATTTGGTTGTGGTCTGAGAGGGGGGATTGTTGTCTGACAGTGAATGCACTGATAGTGGAGGGGTCCATGTCAGTGATTGCATAGTCTACTACACTAGATCCAAGAGCTGAGGAGTATGTGAATCTTCCTAAAGAGTCCCCTCTGAACCTACCGTTAACTATGTACAGGCCTAAGGCCCGGCAGAGATGCACGATCTCCTTGCCACTTTTATTTATTCCAGAGTCCAGGTTGTTCCGGTGGGTGATGGTTGGTGTGGTAAATAAGGGAGTTTGACCAAACACATGGTTGTTGCCCTGTGGGTCGATGACATCAGGTTCAATTCCTGTTCGTCCATTTAGATCTCCAGTTAGAAGCACGTTTCCCTGGGCCTGGAAACAGGCGATTTCTGAATGAAGAGTTTCAAAAATGTCTTCTTCATAATAAGGAGAATCCACTGGGGGTATATAGATAGCACAGAGATATAGATCCCTATCAGTTATGCCCAGAGTTTGGTCTAACCTTAACCAGATGTGTGATTTACCCTGTTTTACTGGTGAGATCTTATGGCAAAGGTCTCCTTTATACCACACCAAAATCCCCCCCGATGTTCTGCCCTTGCGTATGTTTTTAAATTTGATAGAGGGCACCATGACTTCATTATATCCTGGAGGACAGTGAGTGAGTAAATCATTTTGACACCATGTTTCTGTTAACACAATTATATCAACGTCTTTGATAGATTTCATGAATTCAGGGTTTCCACTCTTCAGTTCAAAGGTTGAGGAGTGGAGACCCTGAATATTCCAGCAGCTTATATGAAATGAGAGCATTTAGAAAAAACAATCAAAATGAACCTGTATAGTGAGACAAATATAAAGAACACCTACCACGATCTATACATGTACAATACTGATAATGATAATAATTTTGACATAAATTTCATGGGGGCATGTACTATTTTCACTAATATTACCACTATACTGACTACTACTATTGCTGTTATTACCACTATTGATTAACAATATATTTCCATGTTGTTCTGTTATTCAAGTGGGAAGGTGTTCTCAGTATGTTCATCTTAGCTGAGCAGAAGCCAGGTGCACAGGGTGCGCAGCATCTCTCTGATGTCTCCCAGCTCAGAGGTAGCAGGGGGAGGGACTGTGGCAGTAGGCGGGGCTACGACTGCAGCATAGCTCCGCTGTTGTGGGTGGGGAGGGGGATAAGGGGCAGGTGCTGCTGCTGCATATCTCTGCTGCTGTGGGAAAGGAAGGGGATAGGGGCAGGTGCTGCTGCTGCATATCTCTGCTGCTGATATTGTAAAAGGGGTTGGAGGGCAGGGGCCGAGGAGGGGGAAGGTAGCCTCCTCTGGTTCTGCCTCATACTGGGGTGGTGGGGGGTGGAGTTCTGGGCGGTCTGGGAGGTCTGGGATGGTCTCTAAAGCTCCTAGTAACGCAGGGGGTGGAAGGATTGTGTCCCAGAGCCGTGTCTTTAAGGGTCTTTGCAAATATCCCCATCCTTTCTTTGTGTAGATGGAGTCCATCATAGAGGTCCCAGGTGCCAAGGGTTGGGTGGAAGGCCAGGTGGACATTGGGTAAGGGGGCACATCCTCTTCTGATCTCCATATTTATGTCATGGATGACATGGGGAGGGGTGTCTGTCCTAGGCAGCAAGGTGGAGATCACAATGCGGGTGTCAGGGAATTCCTTACTGGCCTGCTCTGCCATCTTCCTCACTGCTTCAGCAGTGTTCTTACGGAGGCTGTGCAGGTCATTTGTTCCTGTGTGGATCACCATGTATTGAGGGCTCCTGAAAGTCTCCTTTTTCAACAGCTTCATTGCCTGGCCTGTGGTGCTGCAGTGTTTAGAAATCACTTTTTTACCAGGAAAAAGCTTGTTTGTGTCCAGGAATTTCCCATTAGAGTCAGTCAACAGGACCACTTGTGGGGCTTGCTCTTCAGGCTGAGTGGAGGAAAGCTGAGCTGGGCGGAGCTGGCTGTTGGTAGCTGGCTGTGTGGATGTATCAGGAGGTGCCAGGGTGTTGTTGGGTTGAGTGTAGAGCAGAGGGGGTGGGACAGGGACAAGGCAGGGGTTTGGGACACTGGCAGGGAGAGTTTGTGTCTCTGTATTTGTCTTTGTTGGGACGGATGAGAGTTGGTCCGTCAGGTGTTGGACTTGTCTGGTGAAGCTCCTTTCTCTATTCTCAGCATCCTCCTTCAGTTTGGCTAATTGAGTACGGAGCAGACTGTCAGAAAGTTGCAGCTGCATGAGTGAATGTAACAGTCGGAACATGGCTGGACTTGAAGTTAGGACAGATGTCAGCAGGAAGAGAGCCTTGAAGCTATCATCTTTCCAGTCTATGTCCATGTCTCTATCTCTCTCTCTCTCTGTCTCTCTCTCTCTCTTTACCTGTATATGTATAAACAGGTACGTCATTGTATTGTGTACTGTGTGGTGTTGTATTTTGTCTTCACTCATTGAAATAAATAGGGTGGACAACATGTTGGAAACGCCTCCCAGCATAATGCAACCCTGTTGAACTGCAGCATCTGAGTTGACCATGAAATCAAAACAACAAAACAAAATTATTCAACACACAGTCTGGCTCTATTCTCAGACCTTAGGCCTATTCTAGTTATTAATGCCTTTTGATTTGATTTATTTATGGATCTACAAAAGCGCTGCGATCCAAGGGATAAGATGTTGAAGTGAGTGAAGCAAAACTATATTCAACACTAAACATTATGTCCAATATGGTCCAACAAGATGTTGAAAGACTGATATAAAACATGCAACGTAAAACCAATACAGCTAATGCAAAAGATTAAAAGAAGATCAATAATTCAGTTACAATTTCATTTATAACCTGACACCTTACCACACAAGCTCTAACCTCTGAAGGTACTGCTGTTTGTTTGTTTTTGTCAACTTCAGCCTCTTCCTCAGTAAAACACCAAAAAATAAAAAGCCTCTGGCTACATTATTTACTGAAGGCATCTGTTTGTGTGATGTTCTTGTAGTACTGCAAACCAATTTCCCCCTGGGAAGATAATCAATCAATCAATCAATGTTGACGATTAACCATGGTTACCTGAACACGGATATTATTACGGAGTATGCTTATTGATCATATTGTATGCAGCTTGTGTTGTTACAGCAAACTCCTAACTGTATGTAGGTACATAGCAATAATTAATTGATTAGTTGCCAACTTTTAAATGAATAGCCAAATAGTTTAGAAAGAAAGAAAAAGTAACAATTCTCTGATTTGAGCTTCTAAAATGTGAATATTTTCTGGTTTTGTTACTCGTCTATGAACTGAATTTGTAAAACAAGACATCTTGAGGACATCATCTTTGGTCTTTGGGAAACGCTGATCGGCATTCTTTCCTATTTTCTGACATTTTATTGACCAAAAAACTAGTCGATTAATCGAGACAATTATCACTAGTTGCAGCCCTATATCTGGGTTATCCAAACAGCCTATAATGGCATAGAGACAGAGCCAGCCTATAAGAGGAAATTAGCTCTGCTCTGCAGCTTTTACTTCCTGTAAAACGTGGCCAAACAACAGGGAGGGGAAGTTTTACAGCAGAGCTAAAAAGCCCCGACGAAACCAAACACAAGTGTAAAAAAACAACATGACGTCTGTGAGCTCAAGTTTAGCTGGAAGAGCTTTCCTTTCCCGTCCTCCGCCCACTCTTTTAGTTACGTTGACGACAGGTGACCCCAGGTGAGCAAGGAGGGCAGAGACGTGTCCATACATGGGCGGAGAATGCGAGCAGGTAGACGCGCTGCGCAGAGTCCCTTCATGAGACGCGTTATAACTTCTGTGTACTTACTGTAAGCGGATCTCTGCGGGGAGCTAAAGCATTCTACTGCTGCTGAAGGAGACGAGGTGAGTTCAGAGACACAGCAGCTTCATCCACAAACATGTCATGGCTACAGGCATTTATTTATTGCTTTCGTTTTACAGTTCCTCATATTCCTCTGATTTTAGAGCAGTTTGAAGACGTTTCTGCAGAGCTACGACGTCCAAAGACAAGCAATTTAATAGAATACAATGCAGGAGTCTTTCTGCTCCACTTGATGAACAAGTTGTATTAGTTCTCGCCTCACAGGCTCCTGTGTATCCGGGTTATACCTGGACCAGGTCTTGCCTCCTGCCGTGGTTCTGTCATACATTGAATGTTCTGTAATTACATTGAATGTGTTGTAATTCACTATCCTGTTCTACACACGACATCATTGCACTTCTGTCCATCCTAGGAGAGGGATCCCTCCTCTATTGATCTCCCACAGGTCTCTTCCTCTTTTCTCCCCGTTAAAGGGGTTTTTGGGGGAGTTTTTCCTGTTCCGATGTGAGGGTCCTGAGACAAGAGGATGTCAAATGTGTACATATTGTAAAGCCCTTTTGTAATTTGTAATTTGTGATTTTGGGCTATACAAAAATAAATTGAATTGAATTAGTTGGTAACCTTTTTGATAATTGTCTTGTGATACATACCTGAATACCTTTTGGGTTTTTATAACTATTTGAATAAGTAGACATGGGCTTAAGAGTTTTTCAGTATTTTTTAAGCCCAAATGCTGAATCGATTGAACAAGACGATAGTTGGCAAGTGAATTGATAATTAAAAAGTAATACTTAGATGCAAACTCTGCGACTCATTACTTTGATTATCAAGTAATCTGATGACTGTTTTCCTGATTCTTTTCATTATTTTATTGTTAACTAACTTGTTTAATTATTAACTTGATGATCTTTTGGTCTATACAATGTCAGAAAATAGTAAAAAAAAAAAAAAAAAAAGCCAGAATTGGCATCTTCAAATGGCATGTTTTGTCCGGCCAACCTTCCAAATCCCAAAGGTATTCACTTTATCATCACATAAGAAAGTGAAAGCAGCAAATCCTGGGATAGAGCTATTTTTCTGAGGATTGACTTATTGATTAATCAACTAATTGTTTTGGATTCAAAGGCTTCTTCCAAAGAACTCAAGTATTTTCTGACTGAAAATGGCAGAATTGGTATGCAAAACAATCTTGTTAACCTACCGTATGTGTGGTGTTTTCTCTTTCTTGTAGTCGTCCCACCATGGAAACACACACAAAAACGCAAAGGCCCAACAATGGCCAGCTGATTTACGTGCCTCACAAGGATACAATGCGTCTGCTGGAGGTGTACGTCAAGCGCAGCCTCAGCCTCAATGACGGGGCACTGGGGAGTAAGAGGGCAGGGGGGAAAGAAAAGTGGGTGACGATGCCGAGAAAGATGAGACGACATTCCAGCGACCCTTCCTTTCACTTGGCCGATGAGCCAAACGACGAGGTGATTGGTACATTTTCTCCGGTCGAGCCCATCGCAGACCAGCCTGAGACGCGTCCGGAGGAATCCGAGAAACCCGTGAAAAAGCCAAAGAAAAACAAGAAGCCCTCACTTTGGAAAAGCTTCCTGGGTATTTTCTCTCTGAAGGTTAATGAGGAGAAAGATGAAGAGCGGGACAGTCCACCGGAGATACCCAAGTCCCCCTTGGGTATCTCAGATGCCTCTGACGCTGTCACCACCTGCCTGCCCACAATTACAGTCAATAAACAGAAAAGAAAGTCCAGGAGACATAAATCCCTTCGAAGAAGGTTCTCCGAAAGGCGGCAATCTGTGAAAAAACCTAAAGATTTCAACCATGATGACATCACTCGAGTTGAAGGTAAGTTTAATGATTACACGTGTCTGGATAAATTGACCTTATTTGTGTGGTATAAGAAATGACAAATATGATTCAATTCTAAAACACCTGTTGACCAGAATCAGTGGAAATCTCTTGTAAAGATGCTTAAACGGCATGTTGTTCCTGCAGAAGTGCATTTACAGTAAACTGATCGTTTCTTTTTCCAGCCGTCAGCGTGGAACCGACGTACTTTTACTACGAGAAGGTATCGGAGGAATTGGAGAAAATTATACACGAGGTCCAAGAAAAAGAGGAAGCTGCACCTCTCTCTGATGGTGAGGAACAGTTTATTTTCACTTTCAATTTCAAGTGCATGATCGAAGCACCATTATAAGGCTTTTGTTTTAATTTGACAGAAAACATTATGATAAAACAAAGCCATGCGGTTTAATGCACACTAGACAATAAACAGCATATCTCTGATGAATGTGTAATGTGATGAGCAGTGACAGTTTTGTATCAACGTTTATTTCTCTTGGCTGTGCGTCTTAGTTCTGCATGACTATAATAACTCCAAGATGAAATGAATCCCCATAACTTCATAAAGTGTTCATTGATTATACTTCCCCTTGTTGTTGATTTCTCTCAGAGGAGGTAATCGACAGGATCATTGCTTTGACGAAGGAGGAGGGCGATGCCATAGACGACAAGGTTGGCATTCATTTCTGCTCTGAGTCGAACTCTGTGTAGCGTTTAACAATTTGGGAATATTTACATGATCATTTGCTTTAAATGCTTCGGACAGAGTGGGGTTATTCGTGAGATTATGTAATTAGTTAATGTACGTGTGAAGTATTTTGGGGCTTCAGCAGTTTCTACAGAAAGCAAAAGCACTTCAATAAACCATAAACAGTGTCATAAAGTCCAGATCATAAAAACTACAAACTCCATGACACAAGTGAGTGGCTGAGACATTTCTGGTGCAACAGCTTTTCTGCTCTTTACCTTTGCTCGAGTCAAATTATTCATCACCGTTTTGACAGAGGGAGGGTGTGCAACAGGGATAAGAGATAGAGAGAGTCAGGAGACCTGCTATCAAAACACAGTATTGCATGTGACTTGCTTCTTAAATATGGACTGTTGATCAGACAAATCACGCAATGTGTTGATATCACCTTGGGCTTAAGGAACTTGTGATTCACCTCCATTTCTCAACGTTTTTAAGATCGAGACAATAATCTGCAGATGAATTGAAAAGAAAAGAAAAAGGTGTTTGGTCAATCACCTGCTGGAATGATAGAAATATACAAATATATTACAGGCGATTACATGGTGTTTGTCCTTTTACAGTGCGTGTTTATCAGCAGTAAAATCCCCGATAGGTCAAAGTGTCCTCCTGTATTTACTGACGGCCTTCCTCTCCTCATCTCCTCCAGCTGAAAGACAACCCCACCCTGAGCAACTTCTTCAAAGGGATGTCGTACTCTTCCTTCCAGAAGTTGGCCGACGCGTATCTGGAGACGGAAGCGTCGCCGACCCACAATCCTCCCACTGTCCTACTGACGGCACCGGAGCTGGTCAAGTTGGCCTTTACGCTCGACTTTACAGCCAGAATAGTCGGGCTCTCCAAACAGCACATAGGTCACATTACTGGCCTGGGGAACCGTTATCTACACGACCGATTTGAATACCAACAGGTAAGAATCAGACCTGTTGAAAAGAGACAACACTAAACATTAGAGATAGACAGCTTTGGTGCTCTTTTTAAAAACATATTTAATCCGCATAATGATTCAGTTTATATAAAAAGAATGTGCAGCATATCTGTAAAAATGGTGCAGCATTTAAACAGTCACCCAAACAAAGAGGCACACCAAGAGGTTTGGCTTAAAATGCTTTTTTTTTGTCTTTTCCAGGCGTGTTCAGATCATCCAGGGTCTGACAGTGATGACTGAGAGGCAACCATGCGAAAACAAAAAGAAGAATACACTGCTGCAAGTGAAGCGCTCAACTTTTCTCGGCACCATAGATGTGGTTAAGGATGTGTTGCAACCATGAATTTCTCCTTTTAAGAACACAAATACAACCTAACAAACTCTAAGCTTGTATTCATTTGCAAGATTTTTACTGTTTTGTGATAGAAAACAGTGTAATTCTGCTGCAACGGGATGTTTTCTGAAAAAAAACAAAAAAACAGTTGAATGGCTTTGGTAGATTTGAATGTTTACTTCTCAAAAGCTGATTTTACAAATCCACCCTTGAATTCGATGGGTTATTTCCATTGATTTGTGGTGATAAAAACAAGCAATGCAATAACCTTCATTGTATATAAGCTAGACTTATATATTTCTAGAATTGTTAATGGAAGCTACACTGAATTGTGACACAATTGTGTTTGTTGATATGAATGCTGGCGTTCATATTGCATACTCAAATAAAATATGTTTAATTTAATGCTCAAATTTGTTGTTTTTTTCTCATTATGAAACAAACTATACATCAATGTCAGGCTTTGTTCATTGGTAAATATTATCTCCGCCAGGAGAATCCTGTGATAACTTGTGTGTGTCCGTGAGCGAGTGTGCACCTCTCTGTCTGTCCATTCTGCTGCAGCAAGTTGCATTAATATTCTGCATGCTCAAGAACCTCTCATGGTTGCGGTGACTCACACCTTCTCGAAACACCTTTTTATTACCTGTTTTAACCTGCCATCGGCTACCTACTGACTCCTCACTCACTTCTCCTAACCGGCCCCCGGGCGGTAAGGGTCGCTAGTGATGACACCGCTGAGTGCAGCGCCGACCCAGCTGCTTCTTTGCGCCCAAAAGACACAGTGGGGGAAAACAGTTCGCTCACTTTTACTGTTTTGTTTTAGTCGGTGTGTGTGGCTAACAGAGTTCATCGCCACAACAGACTGCTTGGTGAGTTGAATTCAGTTTTTGGCAAGATTATATGATGTGTCTTATGCAATAACTTCGAGCCCATTGTTTGCAAACATCGCCGCTTGAGTTTGAAAGAAGTGTGTTATACAACGCCTTATAGCCCAGGGTTATATTCAGTCAAAGACACACCTCTCTAGTTGAAACTTACTTTTATTCCAAGGAATCCAATTACCGTCTTTCACAGGAAGAGAAAGTTAGAGCTAATAGAATGAGTTGGGTCAAACAGCTGGAGGCTAATACTGCAGTTGCTTTTGGATGGGAGTATCGCTTAATAGAGTTGTTAGTGTTGGTTGAGTTGTGTACACATACATACTGTACATATACAGTATATATACACATACTGTATATATACAGTATATATACAGTATATATATGTATATATATATACATGCAACCAAGGGTTGCTAGCATAGCAACATTTTAAAGGGTCACACATCAAAAAGGTAAGGAAGTACTGCCATTATATAATAGTTGTGTAATGGAACGAACAAGACCTTGACTTTGCCACACCTCTGTAGTCTTACTACACACCTTCTGAACTGCACAGATGAATGTTGAAAAAAAACAAAAGAAACCTGAGCATTCCTGCAAGACTGAAATTAACGTCATGGCAGTAACTGCTGCATCCGTATGCACAGTGTGTGTTGATCAGCTTAACATCAGCGTGTATTGTATTTGTAGAGATTGCTGACATCTACGATAGAGCCGTAATGTAATTACAGGATGTGACAGTCTGTCAGATACATGCTTGAAGCATGCAGTGATGGCTGGCTCTCACCTGTGGAATAGGTTCCCCTGCAGGCTTTTATCCAGCCAGAACTAATGGGCTCACAAGGGATTCTTGTGCATTCGGCAGCACAGTGCTATGCAACACATGTACTTGCATACGTCAGGGAAAAGAGGGGGGGGGCACAAGCAAATGGAGAAAAAGATGAAGAGACCGCTCGATGAACACAATGGTCCTCGCGTCCTCATTCGCTGCCACGTGAATGCGAATTGGTGTGAATGTGTTAACTGTGAAGCTAGATCTTTAAATTCATAATACATTCATGTCTTTTTTTCCTTTACGCTCAGTTGTTTCTTTTCATAACAGTAAAAGTAAGGTCTTCACCTAAACTTATTTACTTTGACACAAATTCAGGTGGCTGTCAGGTAAGACAAAAACAGGAAGTGCAGGCGAACAGTTCGCGGAAAAATGATGGTCACATTTCAGGATTACTCAAAGAGTGATGACGAGTTCAGTGACTAAAAAAAGCTGTCATTCGAAGTTGAATTAAAATGAAAAGATGAATTGTGATGTGAATGATGACTCACATCATTTATACACCACGTATCCAGAGTCCTGACTATCATATCAGCTCAAATACTGGATCATAGGCCTATTTCAAAGCAGACTGAGTCATAGCACAGATGTAATTAATAACATTAATGACAGCTCTGAGAAACTCCTAATGGAGATTACATACCTCTATTTTCATTTTGTCAATAACCTCAGCAAATACATTTCAGCCTAAGTGAGTCTAAGACTGGAAATAAGGAAATTGTGAATTGTCTGGCCACAACAGTGACAAACCACTTAATTACACATATTTCTTCTGATTCATTTAAAAAGGCTAAAAAGGTTTTACTGATGTCCACTAACAAGGCCAATGTAAAAAACAACTTTAAAGCCATTACAATACATTAACATTGACTGTTAAATACATGAAATGACAAAACTGTCCATAAACTGCAAAGCGGCAGCAGGTTTTTGGATCGTGGTGGGACCCTGTGTGTGTTGGATCATGGCTGGTCCCTTTAAGCTGGAGCCATTATGCGGTTTTGGCCAACAGCAGGACAGGCTGACCACATGCAGGGTCCAGATTGCCTAATGACGACAGGTTGCCCTGTCTGGACTATTTTTAGCTGATGACAAAATAACTTTCAACATCAAACCCTGAAAGCCAGACAATATATTTCTGGAACCCTTCATGGTAATGTCTTTGGAATAATATTCACAATAACAAAATCATTTATGAGAGCTATTTGAAACTTATCACAGAAGACAAGGACAATTTGATCAGTGTAAACCCTTTACATTTTTATTGCTTTTCAAACACAGAGAACACAGATTAATCAAAGAGTCCAAAGCCCATATCTTCGTCTGACTCTTCTGATTCCTCTTTCTTCTCTTCTTTTTTCTCTTCCGCTGGAAACGAGACAGAGAAAGAGAACAGTCAATGCTTCAGATGGACAGAATATTGAGCAGCACTTATGTACAATCTAGCCAAATGTTGTTGCAGGACTGCTAAATGCGGCCACAGAGTCATTTGCGGGGGCTATCAAGATGCAATAATATGATAATGAAATTTAGAAACTTCAAGCAACTCTCCTCCAGAAACTAGTATTCATCAAATGGAAGCTAAGAATGAAGGGTGTGCACATACCAACAGCAGGCGCAGCCCCGGCCCCAGCGGCCCCACCAGCAACAGCAGCAGCGGCAGGAGCCGCCACAGCACCACCTGCTGGTACGGAGGCTAACTTACAGAGGCCTGTGGACGAAGGAAAGAAAAACAAATTTTAGCACTCTTCCAAGAACAACATCTTGAAAGCTTCAGTGCATGTTCACCAAGAGGCCTTTACCTGAGTTCATGACTTCATTGATGTTTTTCCCATTAAGCTCACTAATGACCTGCAGAGAAATAGAAGATTCAAATTCAGCCACAAAAATCTCAACAGCTTTTTTTGGAATTGCATAATATGATGTCGTTAAATGGCGTACCTTGTTTAAGCGTTCGTCATCGGCCTCGATTCCTACGCTGCCCACGATGGCCTTGATGTCCTTTGCAGAGGGGCTGGTGTTCCCACCGAGCACAGCCAGGAGGTAAGCGGCCACGTAACGCATTCTGTATTGACGGACGAGACGCACAAATTCAACAACTTGTGACTATGCAGGTTATGCAACTCTGACATCAAATCAGAGAGTGTAAAATAAAAAGACGACCCGCATCTCAACATACAGGCTGGAACATTATCATCCATCCGAATAAATTTAGTTAAAATACACCACAAATAACTAAAGACGACATTCATTTATTTTGCTGAATTTCCCTTCATCTTAAACAGCCAGTTCCCTGATTTAGAGGAGACATTTTTAGATTATATTCATAAATCTGATGATTGACTTTCAAGCCAAGTTGCCAAACATTCCCTAGTTCAAGCTTTTCAAATCATTAAGCTGATGAGGAGATGCTGTCATCCCTGTCTCACATCATTGTCATGATCTTAAGGTTTTGGACTGTTGACAAAATAGGAAGCGTGAATATGTCAGTGAAAATGTGATGGCCATTTGTCACTATTTTCTGACATTGTTAAACAATGAATTGTGAAATTAATAATTCCATTATCAATGAAGCTGCTGAGTATTTTCCCCTATGGCTAGTTTGGAATATTACATGCACAAGACTTTCCTGAAGCCCAAGTTTTTGTATTCACATTGCTTATATTGTCAATAAATCAGACACATTCAGTGTTCTTACACTGCAGACAATGGAGAACAGTAATATTCACATTTATTTTTTGCCAATTCACTACGTGATGGACTATTCACTTCAGGTCTAACTGGTATAATGTACGACAGCGGCCTAATCATGGAAAGTTACTGAATGATTCTTGAACGAATACAAATATATTTTCTGAAAAGTACCCCAATGTAGTATTATCATGTTGTTATTCCTGATACAGGCCACTCTTGCATCAGCGCTAGTGTGATGAAATGCGTGCATGTAAGCGAGTGAAACGCTTGGGGGGAGCCCAGGTTGACGTTAGCTTAGCTACCGTTAGCTAAATATAGCTGTTAGCTTTAGCTTTAGCTGCTCGTATATTGAAACCATGCTTAGACTTTCATCAAACACAGACAGGAAGACAATAACCAAACGGTCGGTGTTAAGAGTTTCACCGTTTTGAGCTGTAACGTTATTTCTCCAGCAGTGTCACTCTGTACCGCTGTGATGTATTTGTGATTTAGAGCGAACAGAAAAAGCATGGCGGCCAGTGTTTTTACAACAACGACAGCTGGCCTCCATTAGTGACAGCGGCTGCATGTTCAGCAGCACCACGAATTTCAGGAACTAAAACCAACCCCCGAGTACATGCTGCATTGAACACACAGTTTGACGAGAACTAATTTGCACACACGTTTTAGATTATTCAAATTCTGACTTACTTTAAGTCTAAACAGACACGAAACGTTGGTCACGCTAGGAAAAAATCCGGAAAAGAGGAAGAGGAGAAACCGGAAGTTATGGAAGAGAGTAACATGTTGATTTCATTGGTCCACAGACGTTTACGTCATCAGTTAGATAAACCAATGAACGAGTGTAAATACATGAATTAAAGAAATGTATCCATTTATCCCATTATTTACTGTAAGTATTTAAATAACAACTTTCTGAATATAAATGGTGTGTTATTAAAATCATTGCTTTATTTTATTATTATTATTGATAGTTTTTGCATTAATTTTGTAAATAATGCAATAAAATAACCCGCCACGAAGATAAGCTGTAAAACTGTATACCACAAGTGTGTACTTCGAGTGTGCAGTAATTACGGAATTATTCAGATTCTTTACTTAAGTAGGTTGGTAAACACTGTAATTCTGTAAAATACCTTCAGTCTTGCATTGAAAATAAGTATTAAAAGTGAAAGTACTCAATGTGGGACTTAACAAATAAATTAAAGGACAATCCAATCCTCACATTTGAGGAGCTGGAACTGTCAAATGTTTGTAAACAACATGTCAAAATTGTCACAAATCCATTTTCTGTCAGCTTGTTGAATGATGTAAAATATACTGCATGTCAACAGTTTATCTTATAATTATTTGATATTAACAGTACAATCTATCCCTGAAGAGAAACTGTATTTCATCTGTTACAGTGGTGCCAGAGTATATTTTACTAAAGTGAAAAGAGTAACAACTCAATGTAAAAATACAACTTTAAATGTAAAAAGTCTTCATTCATAATATTGTTGAAGTACAGATGTAGTATTGCCGGTAAATTGTACTTTAAGTAACATAATAAGTCATTAGGCAGTATGATCCCTTTCAGAATGTTATATTATATTATAGCATTATTATTACTGATGCATTTTGTAGCATTTTTATAGCTGGTCAAAATGGATGTTATAACACTTGGGTTGGATGATTTATGATATATATAATATTTTGCAAATAATAGCATCTGATTGTAAAATGATAAGTAAGTGGTCACTCGGTGTAAAACAAATGTAATGGAGTAAATACAATATGTGCCTCTAAAGCTTTAAAGTAAATAATGGAAATACTTAAATAATGATGGGAATGTACATTGCATACCAATATTATATATTCTGTGTCTACTCTGATAACGATTTTATAATTAAATTAAACATTTTTTCTTTTTTCTTTAGAAACACACATACAGTTTGACACTGATTGAGTATTTTACAATGCATGTTGCAATGTCCTCAGCCTGAACGGGACGTCCTAACCATGGTATTAATACACAAGGACACACTCAGGTGGAGATGGTGGTGTGTGCAGTGTACTGTATGACAGAACAAGGATTCAGTTGATTGCGTTATTTATTTCCATTAATTTGCCATCAAAACATAGTTTATAAATCATCCCCAATACATTGCTGTATTTCCAAGATGGAGCTGTAATTATTTACTGGGCATTAGTAGTGCCACAATGTAGAAAACACAAAAACATGAATATACCATGAAGTGGTCTACCCTTCATTCACAACCTACAATTCAAAAAACTCCTCCTGTCTCTCCTGGGTGAAGAGCCAGTCGAACAGAAAGACCACCGAATCTGACACAAACTCTGCAATCTTCTTCACGTCTGTCACATACCACATTTTAAAGCCAAATTCTCCCAGTAATATGATGAGAAAAATGGCCAAGAACCCGAGGAAGATGCGGTCCATACAAAAGTTTGCCTTTTGTCTGAAGGTCCACTGCTCCCAAGGTAGCGCAAGCTGGGCTTCATAGTATTTACCAAAGTGTATCAGGGCTCTGTGTTCGCTATCCAGCTCTTCATCCGGAGCCTCCAGGTCTTGGCCCCCGTCTGCTCCGTCTGTGTCAGCCATTTGATTGTGGTTCGGTGCTGCAACTTTCCCTCAGTTGTCTGAGAATATCAAAATGATAAAAAAAATATGTTGCTTTTGGAGACTAAATTACAGATATATGAAGCTTCAAAAATCTTTGCTTTGCAGCTGTTTTTTGGGATGAATGTGAAGGGTCTTACCTCAAAGAAGATTAGTTTAGGAAGAAGATAAGATGCTCACACAGAATTGAGACTCTTGGCTTTTTTTGTCTCCACAGCTAGACCATGCTTGTGCGCCTTCAGCGTTCGACAGGCCACCAGCCACGGGAGTGTGTGTTGCGAAGGTGGTAAAGGCCGGTTGGTTATGCAGCAGCTCCCTCACTAAGACGAGGGCTGGGGATTAGACCACACTCAGCAGTTTCAAATCCCTTATCAAGGATGAAGGCGACAGATGGTGACATACGTTTTGATATGACGCCAGCATGTTCATGTGTGAACGTCTCAGGTGGGCGCAGGATAAATATGAGAAAAATAAATATCTCCGAGGGCCTCACTGCCACATCCACACCAAACCCACATGTCAAATGACAAAAAACATTCACACATGCATATTCTAAACCAGATTCAGATTAGACGTTTTATTCTTCGTCTTCCATTAAACTGTGAGCGGAAGTGATGTTACATGGACAGAAACAAGGAAGAAGTCAAACCGAGAACTGACACAGCTTTAGCCGAAGTTTTGGCTTTAGAGTTGGAATAAATCACTTCAGCATAAAGCTCTCTGGGTAATTTACTCAAATGTCTGCCACAGCTATTGAAATATGCCTGAAACTAGCTGAATTAGCTGAAAGGATGCTGACATCCTGTGATAAAGACTCATTTCCGGATTGCTTTTAATGTTGCCAGAGTCCTGTTCCATTTGGTTTCATGAATTTATTGTTATTTTGCATTCTAGGCAGGGCCCTTCCACTTCTCATCAGAACACACTGTCCTTTCTATTGATTTTACCCAATAAATTTCTATTCTCTTGGCTCTTCTGCTTTTGTTCACGTGACGACTCAAACATCCTATAAAGGTTTTTGTGCCAAAACTCACTTTTAGCCATGCTAGCAGTCTTTCCGTCAGTCAGTCCACTACTTGATCCAAATAAAAATATCTCAACATCTGTGTATCTGTGTGATGGATTGTCATGATAAATAGCTCAGACATATATGGCGCCCAGAGGGAGAATCCTAATGAATTTGGTGATCTCCTAACATTGCTTTTGTAGCACCACCGGCAGGTCAAAGTTTTCACTTATCCAGTGAAATATCTCTCTGTCCATGATGGGCTGCCATGCAATTTGATACAGAACTTCATGTTCCCCTCAGTATGAACTGTAATAATTTTAATTTTAATAATTTCATTACTTTGGCTTATGATCAAATTCTTGCAAAACAGATGTCAGTTAGTGCTAATTATCGAATGTTAGCATGCTAACACGCTAAACTAAGATGGTTAATGGTTAATATCATACCATAGACTCTATAAAATATGGACGAAGTCTCTTTGACGTCACACATAGGTTTGTAAGGAACCACTGTGAAGCTCAAAGTGGGTGTCTCTAGCCGTCGCCATCTTGGCAGTGATGAAACAGCCTAACTCTAAAAATGGGCAAAAGGATGGATTGTGGGTGGAGGCGGGTTCAGTGACGCAGCAGAGCAGACAGATAGCAGATAGCGTCTTGAGACAGCACCCACCTGTCACTCAGAGCAGCCACGCCTTAATTATGCCTAACTTTAAGCCCAAATAACATGTTAATTTCTGCTGGAAAGTTTGGCTTTTTTGGGCTCGTTTTTTGGAGCCAGCCTCAAGTTGCCATTTGATGAACTGCATTTATTGGCACTTTAGCGTTGGCTTCATTTCTCAGCACTGGAGGTTACTGCTTGCATTATACCTGCTTAGCATCAGCATGTTAGCATTTAGCTCAAAGCACCATTGTGCCTACATACAGCCTCTCAGAGCTGCTGGCATAGCTGTAGAATATTAGTCTTGTTTAAAATGTATTTGAATTGTTGTAAATGAAACATATTAAGTGAAGACGTTGCATGTTTATTCTGGTGTATTTCCCAACAAGCTTTTTGAACATGAAATGTTTGTTGCATCACTTATTATGTTGACATATTTATTAGAATTCAATATGAATCAATTATGGAAAACTTAAGTGAAAACAAATAATTCAAGTTGATAATATTTTTCCTTTGATTGCAGGCAAATTTTCTTAGAATCAAACTGTGTCAATGAATTAAGAATAGGTCAGAAATGAACTCGTCCATTGACTCTGCTTTTGTGTTCGTGAATGGGTTGATATTCCAAATATCACACAATCCCATGAGTGTCATTGGTGCACCATCTCGCTGTAAGCCACAGTGGTGCTCCAGTCCTTGTTACAGGAGTACATTCACTTTCTCCGTCAGGGCCGGTGTGCTGGGGGGACACGGGGTGGGCTCCGTGGGCTTACATAACATGCACCGGTGACTGAACTTGATCAGCGTGACACGGAACGACTTTATCCTGAATGCATAAACCATTGGGTTGAGCGCTGAGTTCACGTGGGACATGAAAATGCCGAAGTACAAGGCAAACTTGGGTATGGAACACTTTGGGCAAAAGAAGTCAATGCAGTTCATGATGTGTATTGGCAGCCAGCACACAGCAAAGAGAAAGACCACCAAGGCCAGAGATTTGGCCAGCTTCAGCTCCTTCCGATAGTACCTTTCTCCATCACACGTGGCCTCAGCGCGCCGATTAAGCTGCCGCCGGATCACCCTAAAGATCTCGGCGTACAGGGCGATCATTATGGACAGCGGCACCACCACCCAGCCGAAGAAATTGAAGTACACCATGTAGTCCATCCTCATGACCGTGGTGAATTTACAGACAATGTCGCTGGAACTGCTGAAGTTTCCTTGAGCATGGCGGTTATTCCATCCAATCATTGGAACCAATCCAGTGAGGAAGGAGAGGATCCAACACAGACAAACTGCCACACATGCCCTCCTCTGGGTCACTATGGTGTTGTACCTGGACAGAGTTATTGGAACACAAATGGAGACAAGTTTTTTATAACTTAAATGCATACATGCATACTTTCCTTCTACATTCGATTTTTTGTTTTTTTTTAGTACGCCCGTCCATAAATTATTGTTCGGAAGGATGTTTCTCAAGTGCCAGCTTTTAACATCAGCAAACAAAAAGTAGTATGGGTGACTGCCAAACTCGTTTAACAAACTGTGCCTACGTCAGTTATTTAGGCAGACAGGGACGTTTTCATTTGCTTAAAAGCTTTTGATGTCCAGCCCATTGATTTGCATTAAACCAGACAAGGATCTAGCCTCCTCCTGATCGACTCTCTGTTGTGAAAGCACACACTTAGCTCTCTGATGCTAAAAGCGATAACAAAAGAAACTGTCACTACTATTAGGGTAACTTTAGATATAGAAGGATTATCAGGAAATTGAGGGCTTTTGCTGTTTAAGGAAGGAATTCAATTTACCAAATACTCAATTTGACTTGTATGGCAGTGATACATGCCATGTAATGAGGTGTTAATAGAATTCTCATAAAAACAGGCTTGTGAATGAATAGCACTTATGCCAGTAAAATATTTCAGAAGCTATTTTTTATGATGAAAGCTGCAACGTACTGGAACAGGCAATCCCAACCAATCATAGATACTGTGCACAAAAATGATATCCTCTTCCCATTGCTCTCACTCATGAATATTTTATTGTTCTTACCGTCACTAATTACAGCAAATTGATACTGGCCTACTTTTCGGAACAATATCATCACCACATTCATCATCCCACACAACCCTAACCAAACTAACCTCTATACTTTCTGTCAATATGTCTAAATCCTGAGAAAACTATATTACACCCCTTTAAAGTGAAAGTATAACCGACTGGTTTAACAAAACTTCCTCACCTGGTGGGAATCATGACACGCAGGTATCGGTCGATGGCGATGGCCAGCAGGGAAAGGATGGAGCTCTGGGTGATGATCAGCAGCAGGCAGGACAGGAAGAGGCATGTGTAGAACTGAGTCTTAAATCCCTGACTAAGGATAATAGCCAGAGGGATGACCAAAACCCCCACAGCGATATCAGCCATGGCCAGAGACACAATGAAACAGAAGGTGGTGTTGCGGAGAGCCCGGTTCACACACACAGCCAGCACCACCAACACGTTCCCCACCACAGAGGCCAGGGCAATAGCTGTCTCAATGGAGATGTACATCATGTCCACATGTTCCTGACGCTTGATACCAGGAAAAGAAGACATTTTTACGATTCACAGCTTAGCTCAGATTGTAAAAAAAAAAATGAAAATTGGTTGTTAAAACTTCTTGCCTCCACTTTGGGGGTTTTTTTCAGCAAAAAACATCTTCAATTATGTATGCTGTTAGCTGAAAGAAGTGCTTATCCTCTTTGCCACATTTACACAATGTGTTGTTCTTCTGGTCCTGAAGGGATGTTGGACAATTAATCCTTAGCATGTTGTTCCAGCTTTGCGCAAGACTGGATTCCAGCCCATCATTTCTGCTCTCTCTCTCTCTCTCTCTCTCTCTCTCTCTCTCTCTCTCTCTCTC